TACCAGTTTCCAAATATCTTATATCAGTAGGGGTATCAGCAGCAGGAACTTCATGTGTTTGTATCTGTTTCTGATCGTATACCAAGGTTCTTCATATATAATGGGACATGAGGTGGAGTTCATGATTTTTGCCATTGATACTGATGGAAGCTGTGCTTAAGGCTACTCCAATAACTTATTTCCAGAACTCCAGAAAACAGTAGTAGTTGTCAGTCCTGTTTTCTTATTTCTTCCTTTTCCTATTTTCTTAGAATTTCTTACCCAGTTTTGCACCAGGTAACATTTATTTCAAGGCTCTGAGTTCTGTGCATTTGCGCTTAACAATGTTTGTTTCCTTCTTGGTTCTCTAATCAGAGGTTTTAGATCATTTGATTGACATTAAGGGCTATTGGTGTTTTAAAGTAAATATTGGAGTATATGTGAACATGCTGCAACTTCCTACATACGCATGTATAATTTAAATTTGCAAATGATCCATTTGGTATTTTTGTTTGCACCGAAGAATTCCTTCCTGTCCCGTAGTCACCAATAAATCCTTGCTGCTGGTTCTGATTGCATATTGGGGAGATTTAACAGGAATGATGAGAAAGGAACAGTGCATGAAATTCTGTCCCAAGGTGATTTTTATGTTCGCCCCGGCTAAGTTTGCAAATTTGCTGATACTCAGGGTTGGTCCAGTGTCTGCTCATTAGTTCTTCTGAATACCTTTTTGAAATGTCATTGAGCGGCTGTGAAAACTTGGTACAGTACTCCTTGTCACACTCGAGCTCTGCTACCAGAGCAGCAACAGAGAGTGTTCAAGCTTCTCAGAGTTTGATTTCAATCCTGCACCTGCGGCTTTCGATCCCCCCTATGCAGGAGGTTTAAATTTTTAGATTATATTGACAGAAACTTGCAGCTTAGAGTTTCTATTTAAAACCCAAGGAAGGGCTAAATAGATTTTTAAAAAATCTGGTGAAGAGGTTAGGAAGGTTTAACTTTTTAAAAAGATTGAATGGAATAAAATTTGAGCATGTATAAATCAATTTGACAATCTTACGCGAGTCTTTAAGTTCTACAGATAAGTGCATATTTGCTGAGAGGATTATTGTGTTTCATGTGTATGAGCTACTATTTGAAACAGAAATACTAGTATTGTTCTTGACTCCTTGTGTGCAAAAAACAAAAAAGTATCCCCTTACAAGATGTATGCATACTAATAAAGGTTATTCTTGCTTGGGCTTAAAATAGTGCCATCAGGAAGTTTCAGCACCAGGTTCTACTCATTGTTTACCAGAGCAAGGTTTGGGATTTGATAGGTGACAATGTTGCAGATGTCTCAATGCGCAGAAGGTGAATAATCTTTACTATAGTATTCCTTGTAGAAGCAGTCTCCTTACTTCAATATTTTTAGTACAAGCACACTTTTTTAATGCCAGTCTAAGCATCCAGTATATGTCTGGCACTAAACCGCTAAAACTCTTTTATAGAAGTATTTGTTTCTCAATACAGCTTGGGGAAAATAGTTTTTGTTGCCCTATGGAATGCAGTCTGGGGTATAGTAGCTGCATCCTGGAGAAACCTATCAATCATGTAGTACTTGTGGAGCAAGTATTTTCAAAAGGTTGGCTGCTTGAGTTTTCTTTAAGATGGGGAAAACAGTTTCTATATTCTGTGGTTCTCAGTGCCCAGTGTACTTGCTTTTCAGCTTCAATAATGAATTTACTTATAGTGTCATTAGTGTAACGCACGTGGGCCCCATTTGGTTCTGTAGTGAAGTATCTTGGGAAATACAGTGTTACTTCCTTCGTGCAGAGCTGCTTAAGGTTTTCTTTCTACTATGACCACATCTTAACAGAGAGATTATTTTATGAATCTGTGCCCCTTCTGCCTATGATTGTGCTGATGCCTCATCTCCCAGACATGAACTCATGGCATCCCTGTGTCCAAGGCTTCAAAAAAATTACTTATTGTTAATTAGCCCAAGAAATAAGTTTGCTCACTGCCTCAAGCCCTCTTGTTCAGTTTCCTGCTTGTCATATAGTCATCACTACTTGGATGCAATGACTCCAGTTTTCTGCTGGCTAAGCTGTGAATCTATAATTAATGCCAGTTGCCCCTCCTCACACAAGCATTGAATTAATTCTGTACTGCAGATGAATGCATGTTTCCAGTCAGTTTTCTTATTAGAACAATAAACTAATTTTGAATTGCTCCCCAACTTCCAAATTGAACAAACTGTGCATTCTCTCAAAATTTAATGCAGAATGGTTTGCGTTACCCTTGCTGTCAGGTATAGTAAATCAATTCCTACTGGTCCTAGATGCACAATGTCTGCTGTATGGTCAGAGGAAGGACGCCACAAACCCTTCTTTGCTGAGTGGTCAGTCAGCTGAGACCTCTGCTTTAGGAGCTAACCCCAACCCAACCAAAAATGGAGAGCATTAGCCTGTGTAACCATGAGACCCCAAGCCTGCCTGAAAACTAATGGCAGTAGGTATCCTGTCACATTTTTAAAGCCTTCTGCTGGAACAGTGATCTAGTACCTCAGCCTGATCACGTTAACCGCTACAAAAGTTGACCTGTTTTAGGAGATAGGGGTGATTCGATGCGCACACCCACTCACACTGATACTCAAGCTGTATGAAACCAAGGATTCCCTTGACATCAACAGTGACTGGCACTGGGGTTGTGCGAGAGCCAGCTCAGGCATACATCATTGCATAACTATACTTGGCTCACATTTTAAAGGTTTAGCTATCAGTAATATAAGGGCTAGAAGCTTTTTAAAGAAATGAACATTTTAATTCTGACACAGCTGACTTTGCTCACTAGAGAGATTCTTTCTTGCTGAAGGCAGGCTTTTTTCCCCAAGCCGTATCTGGATAAACTACCCAGTAATTTTACATGGAAACGTTGCATTAAGAAAGAGTTTATGTACTTTTGACTTGTAAATTCTTATTTAAAGTCTTCTAAATGATACTAAAACGTACAAAAGTTTTTAACTTGATAACATGCTATCTTTCCTCCTCATTTAACTTCCCTCTTCCAATCTCCATCCCTCAACCCCATTAAATGCCTCTCTAACCTTTGTCTCTTTCTCTCTTTCCTTCCTTTTTAAACCCCTTACTCCCACAAAAACTTCACTGTGAGCTGGTGCCTCTTTTCCTTCTACTCTGTCTGCATCTCAGCTGCCTTACTATTGCTGTTGGCTGGCTGGCATTTTAATGCCAGGGGTAATTCTGCATCTCTAGTTTCCTCCTCTGTGTGTTAGTAGATGCTAACAAAAACATCTAGGCTGGCTTCTCTTCCATAGGCCATTAAGCCAGTGGTGCCTAACCTTTTTGCTCTGCAGGCCAGATCTCTGTGGACCTGAGCTGGCAGGCAAAGGGCTGGGGCTCAATCTGGCACATGCTGGATTAAATCCCAGTCCGGCATACCATATAGTGGCTGGGACTGTGCCCCGGTGCGGGATCAGGTCCCATCCTGCCCCCAACCTGATGCATTCAGGATCAGGCTGTCACATAGCATGCTCTGGATTGGGCCCTGCCACCTGGGCCCCAACCTCATGCACACAAGATCAGGCCCCATCATTTCATCCCCACCCCTGCTTGTTCTGGATTAGGCCAAGCCACCTTCTTCATTCAGGGTCAAGCCCTGCTGTTGAGACTTCAGATTCATGCACACAGGAATGGGCCCCTATGCCCTGCCCCCTTCCCTGCTCACTGTGGAATGGAGTACACCACCCCCCACATGAAGGACTGGGCCCTGCTGCCTGCCCCCAGTTGGATGTGCTCAGGATTGGGCCCTGCTGCTTGGGCTGCAGCCCCTTGCTGTCAGGGTCAGGCCCTGTTGCTTCTTCCCTACCCCAGTGCGCTTTGGATCAGACCAAAACATTCCACACACACAAGATCAAGTCCCGCTACTTGCCCCCAGCAGCACATGTGCAGGATGCAACTCTGCCAGCCACCCTCTCCCCTGCCTGGCAGGGTAGGATCATGCCCTGCTGCCTTAGCCCCATGTATGCTTGATGGGCCCCATCATCTACCTTTGTACATGCAGACAGGATCCTGCATGTCATCTGGCCTGCAGGGCTTGGAAATTTGGTGGGGGAGGAGTGGTAGCAGCATTAATTGTCACTGTTTCTTGCCAAATTTCAGGGCCTTTGGGCAGCCCCTCAGGCTGGATTGTGGTTCTCTAGGCCACATCTGGTCCGCTGGCCAGGGGTTGAACACCCCTGCATTAAGCAACAAACAACATTGTCTTTTTCTATTTTTTTTCCATCTGTTTTGGTTTACAGTATTGATATGAGCTGGTGAAGTTAAATGCCTTCTCATATTTTGCTTTTAAGTTAGAGTTGTGATGCTATACTGAGAGCAGCCGTTAGTATGTGAGGAAAGTAGATTCTCTCTTCTCATCTAGAAGGGCACTCAGCAAGCACTGTATTAAACTGACAAGCTTTGAAATTAGGGGAGCACACTGAGAGATTCATCCAAAGGGATGGTGGGAGACTTAAAAATAATAAGTTTAACACAAGTGGCCATCCCTATCAAGTAAAAATGCAGAACTCGCCTAGTTGAGTTGCTAACTTACCTAAAATGACAGTTTTCTTATTTATGAAAAGGAGATATAGAGGTAACAGCACAATTTGATATTTAAATTTTAAATGGCTGTTTTTTTTCATCAGAGATTTTTTTCCTATAACTGTTTTCACAATGTTGGGAATTACCAGTCCTCTTTGAACTCTTGCCATGGCAGGTTCTTTCCCTTGCACTTAATTGTATTATGGATGTGAGTGATAAGGTTTGTTTATCTTTAAAATAAGGGCCAAGTCCTTGATTGGAAAATATACTATTGCGTCCCACCCCCAATTAAATCATGCTTGTGCGTGAGATTTGCTTGAATTAAGGCATCATGTATGCAAATTTGGCTTCTGATATTCTGTACTTCTGCATAAACAAAAGATGTCAGTAAGGTGTTTTTGGTTTTTTTTTTCATATCTCTTCTCACTCTGTTTGTAGACTCAAGAATGAACAATCCGTCAGAAACCAGTAAACCATCAATGGAGAGTGGGGATGGGAACACAGGTAAGAAATGACCATTTTGTGTTCAGATCTAGAATTCTGGTGGGTGAAATTTGATGACCTTAGAACAGAGAAATACTCTTTAAAAGTATACATTTGGACTGTTCTTGGTATACTTCATCAGAGGGTTTATGTTTTCATAGATTTAAGAATACCTGCTTGCCTCTTCTAGTTTATGGTAGGTTTTTAACTTTTTGTTTATGCAAATCTCTCCTTGCACATACTAACAGTATGAGCCTACAAACTATTTTTTCTCTTGCTAATATGGTGTCTGAATTACAGTAGGAGCTAGTAACATTGCCTGTTATTAAAGTTGTCCAAAGCTTTCCTTTAAAGCCCCTCATGTACTACAGTGAAGATTTGACATTTGGCAAGGGTGACATTGCCTTTGGGTTAGAGAGTACCTTTTACCATCCTTGTGAAAATCCATGCAGATTTGGCCAAGTTGTAAACTTTTGAAAATAGCAGTTTGTGTAATGTGAGTAGGAGTTTGATAGGGCTTCACAGCTCAAATCTCAGATTTCATCTTCTCTGGCCATGTTAAGCCTCACAGCTCCTCATTGACTGGACTGCATGCACCATCCCTACTGAGCTAATGGGCATGCTTCATCTGTTGCATCCACTACTGGGTGTCACTGGGCTGCATGTGCACCATCCCCACTGAGTATCTGAGCATGCTTCAGCCAAGGGGCACCAAAGTAAAGCTGGATTTCCCTCTGGCTGCTTGTAGGCGCTGTGGGAGCAGGCATCAGAACTGAAAGCAAAGAGTCTATTTATCATCTTTCCCCTGTTTCCACATAGTATAAAGTCAGAAGCTCTCTGATTTACATGTGGGAGGAAAAATGGCTGAGCCCTAGTTCTTTACAAATGAGGAGAGGGGACACAGACTGCTAGGGGCAGAGCTGGGAATGAGTGAGCAAACAGGTCAGGTTGGGACCAGGAGAGAAAATGAAGAGGTTGTAAGTGTTGTGAAAGGGAGAAAGAGAACTGAGATTTGAGGTGGGGCAGAGGAGACCAGTCAGACAAGGAGTAGGGTACATGGAGGAGAACTGGGACTGGCTAAGCAAGTAGCCTGGGAACAGGATATCGACAGGGGAAGAGTTGGGGTCAAGGAGACTGGGGTTGGTAGTAGCGGGGGAAAGAGATGTGTATGGGGCATCAGAAGGGATGTGACTAAGTGTTACTCTCCCAAGAAGAATGAGATTGATATCGAAAGCGTGTGGAGTGGAGACCATGACCAGCTTGAGGGTGCATGGAGAGGAATGGGACTGCTAAGGAGTCCAGTGATGGGGTTGAGAGGTCTGGGACAGGGAGCAGAATGGGCACAGAAGTGTGCATCTCTTAGAGCACACTCCCTTCTGGAGCCTGAGAAAAGTCCCCAGCATTTCAGTCTGTTTTTCCTTATTTTTCAAATACCTGTGAAATCCATTCTTAGGGTGTCTCAAATGTCTCTACTGCTGGTCCGCATGGAGTTTAACAGTCTACTACGTGCTCTTTCACTTACTCTGTTAGCTCAAATGGCAGAGTTCTGTATTGTTGATATAAAGGTTCCAACACATGTGAGAACCAATATTGTAGTACAATTGTAGGGGTTTTTTCTAATATGCATTTCCAAAACCTAGGAAATTTTAATTTAAATTAAATAAAAATGTTAAATAAGGTCATACAGTCAAATGCTTGGAACTTAGGAAATGTTGCCTGGGCAACTTTTAATTCAGGCTTTGTTTCAGCTCTTTTGTTAGTATGAATTATGATCCAGCCTACAAACATTTTCTTCCACCCTACTGAATGGTTTGGGGTTTGACTATTGAACAAGTCTGTTACCTGTCAGGCCAATACCGCATTTAATTAGAGGAGATGGAATGTGTGGAGTGAAAAAAACAGGAGAGTTTAGAAATAAGAGGACATTCTTGTAGATCAGGAAGTTGAATGCCACCCCTGGAGTATTGGATTCTAGTTTCTATCCCTGTTTCTGCCAGAGCTTCCATACCACGTTGCACAAATTGCTTAAACTAAATGTTTTACACATCATTGCTAACTGTGTTTCTTGTTTTCCGAGTTGCGAACTTGAGAGGTGCAGAAATATGGAGTGTAGCATCAGCTGAAGCCAATGGAATTTGTGTTTTGAGAATAAAAAGTGCTGTAATAATGCTAAGTACATTGGGGGGGGAAAAAAGTCCTGGGTTTGTCAAATTGGGCACCCAAAGTCAGTGGATACTTCTGACCATAATCTAGTTGCGTCTCGCGTCTTCACATGTAAAATCATCTCTTCACAAGGATGTATAAAAATGTTAGCAAAGCGATTTAAATACTGCAATTGTGGGTTCCATAGATAAGTTCACAATAACAGTCATAATTACTACTTAAGAGTAAAGTTTGAATGCTGTATAGTAAGTAATGCTTGTGCCAACATGTTGAACAATGAGTAGAAAATAAAATATTTTCAACTTTCCCTTAAATTTGCACCATCTTTACTTTTTGTTGAATGATCCAGTGTGGTGTGTACATATGTGACAATGTAATTAGAGGCTGTATCACCGTGCATGCATACAAACAGGCCAAATTAAGATGTAACAGGCAAGTGTGAATCTGGTGATTCCTGACTTGGGTGTTTGACTTGAGGAACTTTGGTGTTCTTCTGATACAGTTCTTTGTATGCAAGGTAAAAGTAGGGTTGCTGGCAGAAGTTTCTCAGTTATTAACTATACGTGATAGATTTTTTCTGTTTGCGTTTGTCATGATCCTAACATGCTTAATATAAGAATTCCTCAAACTTTTGACTATAGATGATGACAGAAAGGGATCTGTTTATATTTATTTAACACACTGATTGTTGTTGGAAATGAGGAACAGAAATGAGAACTTTGAATGAGAAGTGAATAGGATGAAATAATTGAGAATTAGTTCTACTCTGGGTCCAGGTTATTGGCTGGATGGGAAAATTTTTAAATTGCAAGTAATTACTGCTTACTGTTCTGAGAAATCTGAGTTTACGGCCACATCTACACGAGACGCTGACTACGCAGTAGCTCATTACTACTGCATATACTCATTACAATAACATTATATAGCAGGAAGCATGACATGACACTACTGCACAGTAGTAATGACCTGCTGCACAATCAGCGTTGCCAAAAAACAGTTTGGCGATGCTACTGCACAGTAACTCTTGTTACTGCTCAGTCATTTAGTACTTATTTATTCAAGTACTAAGTGACTGTGCCGTAACAATTACGTAGTCACCATCTTGTATAGATGTGGCAACAGTAGAGGGGAAAACTTTTTTCTCCTATGCTTTTCTAAATGATCATTATTAAGAATACAGTTCCTTTAGTTTTAACTCTAGAAATTCTTTGGCAGTCGCAGCGTTTTTAAACTGTTATTTCTGTGTCCTGTATGCAAGGTTTTAATAACAACGCAGTTAACCAGAGCCAAACGTTCCCTGTGCTAATGTAAGATTGAAGGATGTTTTCCTGCCAATAGGTGGAGCTAGTCAAAAAGTTTTCAAGTTTTTTCTCCTGTCTGTCCATACACAGATTCGCAGAAGTTTAGGGCTGGAAGGGACCTTGCTAGATCGTTGGGTCCAGCCCTTTTGTTGGTACTGCATTCACAGTTTATGTAACTTCTCTTCCACAGTGACAGTGCCTGACTGTGTCCGATTGTTCTTTTTCTTTTTATATAATGATTTGGTTATGCATTTGACTCTCCTCAGTGGACTCTGTCTCTCTCATCTCTTTCAAATGGCGGCACCACTTTTGGAATCCTGTAGGCTTTTCAGAAGAATCCTGCTTCTAATTTTCCCTTTTTCATGTAGAAATGCTATTCCTGCAGGTGCATAAAAGCCCCAAGGAGAAACTGGTGTTCTGCTTTTGTCATAGTAACTTGCTGCCTACACCACAGCCCTTCAGTGGAAGAATAGAACTTAGAAGTATCCCATAGGAATTACTGGAGGGGGTGCACTACCGTCTCACTTTACATTCAGTGTAATTTTCCACTGTGAGCAGTGATGATGCCCTTTTTGCCTAGAGTCACAAAGGAAGATTTGGATCCTACATGAAGCTTTCCATCTTCACATATAACTATCCCACCTCTTCGGTAATACTTAAACTCAGTTGTAGAACAGATGGAAGGTCATGGATCATCAACTAGAAGGGTTACATCCTAATGTAACCTACTAGTTTATGAATATGTTCATAGATTATTTTTTATGGAACAATAGGGCTAGCATCTGCATTTTCCTTTTCTTGTGGTGGGACTACTGTACTGTACAAGGCTAAAACTTTTGGATCGTATTACAGCATGTTTTTGGACCTTTCATAAGCATCATATCTAGATATTGAAAATTTTTATGGTCATTCATTTTAGGTTTGTATATGTTACAGCCTTGGTAGGCAAGCTGATAGAAACCAAAAAAATGTAATGATCTTTCAGGGGGAGGGTCATTGTTTAAAAATATATGCTTGCAATCCAGTAGAGATAGTAAGATAGTAACTACTAATATTTGTGACCCATTTCTTTTTGGGGACTTAAGGCTGGATTAGGAGATGCAAGTCTAAGAGTTTTTATTATTTCAGGCCAGAATGAATTTATGAACTCTGCTGGTTTCCCAGTGGAGCTTGCAGCTCTTGTGAGTCTTCAATGTATACAGTGCTGGCAGATCTCTAACCACAGCAAATCATTGCTGTTTCTGTCTCTGAATCATTCATATAGCAAACTCCCATGAGCTGATCAGATTTGCAGATTTCATGATACAAGTACCTAGGTCACATGCAGTTTATATCTGGCTGAGTTTGTAATTCTAGGCAAAAATGTAGTTGTTACAAGTTGCATTTAGGGGTTATGAGTTTAATAGCCAGGTTCATGGAAGAGAGAAGTATTTTCTAAGTTAGAAAGTAAACAAATTAAATTAATTTACTTAAAACTTTAACCTTTGAAACTTTGGTGAAACCCCAAAGACCAAAGTCTCAGATGCTTAAAATAAATTGTAGCTTTTGAAGCTCCCA